TTATTAAAATAATTTCTGTATTCCAATTAATATTGCTTTTAATGATTCTTCAACTAATTTCAGTGCTGTCACTTTCTGAATTTCATCTCATGTGTGTTTTGTTGATAATATTTAGGGAAATCTTTCTTTGTCTCTCTGCTTTTATTTACACCCAGAGATTTAAAGACAATTTTCCTTCCTACTTCAATGGTTACCAATGGTACCTCCTGTGTGTACATATGTAGTAGTCACTCCTCTGTCTCATGGGCTTTTCCTCTGCTAACCTTTCAATTATTTAGTTTTAACCCACAGTAAGGTTCTCTGAGTTTTCCTGTTATTGTCCCAAACAGAACATTTTGATTCACTGGAACGTTTTAATTCATGTAGCCTCACATGCTTCTCGTTATTTCTCATTATTTCATTTTGCTGAGTTTTGCTTTTTATCTTTCTTGCCACTTTCTAGAAACACTCTTAAATTACCTGCCTGCTGAATCCCAGTTTGGTGCCCTCTGTTCTTTCCTTTATGGATACATCTTACTGATTTTCTTTTGTTCTGGCAGCTTATTTATGCTTGGTTTTTGTTTTTCCTGTTTCTTCCTGTCCCCTTCCTGAGGACTTTATTTTTTCTTGCCCATTTAAAGTTCTTTTGCCCAGAGACATTAGTTTTATCTCTCAGCAAATTGGTGACCATGATCCTCAAAAAAAATTTATCAACACTTTGAAACCTTTGCTTTTTTGTTTCTAAGCCATTCACCTCTTAGCCTCTGATTTACCACCACTATTGTGGGAGTTTTGGGGTTTATTTAACCTTGACAGCGAATCATCTATGATGTCAAACAGATTACACTGAAATTAATTATGTTGTACTTTGGAAATTAAAACCACAAATTCCTCTGGTGGATTCCTAGGGGTTTAATGGAGCAGCAATATTTTCTGCTGGCTTCAGGACTGTACTGTGGCATCACTCTTGTAACACCTTAAGGGGGAATGTCAGTGATCTATCCTTGCTCCATGTCTCCCAACTTCCTACCATTGCTCTTCTGCACTGGCTTCCAACGTTTGCTATGTTATAATAAACATTTTCTATGTCATGTATTTTAAATAAAGATCATAAAGTACTGCCTATGCAAAAGGGGTGAGCTGAGGTTACTCAGCCAACCTTGATTTTTTTCATTCCCCCTCCCATTGTCTAACTTGTGAAACTTTTCCTTTGCAGTTCTGTAAATGTTATTTTAATGTAATTTGTGCCTAACATATATATTATAGATAAGTCTATCTAATAAGCAGTTGGGAATAATATATGTAGATTTTTCTATTTTAAATTCTTTTCTGTAAGTCAGCAGAGTGGAATTCATTAACTTGATATGGATCTTTTTCAGTCTTTTCAGTAACCATTCACCAAAGAATGGACTTAGGAGTGTATTTATATGGTAAATGTACTGATACTGCTTACTTTAATATAAAGTTCATCTTCTTAATGCTTTTCCATATATACACATTTGGCTCTTTTGGAAAGGCGCTTGTAATCCAATCTTCTTTCTTCTCATTTTAGCAGAATTATTACTTATAAACTAACATAGATTAGCTGCAAGTATTAAAAGAAGACTATTTATTTGTGCAAAACTTGAAAAATACTTGAGCAAACTATTTATTAAAAAGAGTGACATTTACTATAATACTTTAAAGAGTAAAGACTATTGAGTTCTGGCGGGTTTCTTGTTTGGTTGGTTTGGTTTTTTTATGGGGGAATATTCAAATAGGAATTATGAAATGAATGCATATGAAAAAACCTGTTTGATAGAGAGCTTTAGCAATGCTTAATGGAGTTTTTGCTTTCCTGAGAGTGATAGCACAGCATGTAGTATATAACTAACTAATGGAGATTTGCCACTCAAGTAAGTCAATCAAAAATGTAATTTAGCTGCAAACTCTCATGGAAACAGCTATGCCTCTTGTATCTATCCCAATTAAATACAGTGTGATGATGATTGCATATGTATCACTAATAGGGATGTTGGGAGAATTTCTGATAAAGCTTTTGATGGGGATACAAAAATGTAAGTTTTGAATCCTCTGAATTAAAAAAATCAAGCCACTGGCCACATAGGACATTTAAAACAATTTTCAAATGGACAGTATCCTTATTCAAAATGCTTTTCATTTTGAATATATTTAATCCAGAGTAAGGCAGAGTGGAGTGTGGGGTTTTTTGATCTATTTTCTTTAAAATCATTCACAAAATCATCACATTCTGAAATAGATTTGATTTTAATTCTAGAACAAATAAGAACATCAATTTAGGAGCTTTACCACCTTCAACTGTCTCTGCAAAGTGCTCATGATGGTGCTGCTGGTGAGTCTCATAAGGCAGAAAGAATAGAATCTACTTTTGGCATGACCAGTATAAATACCTCAAAAATAACCTGGCAGTTACTTGAAGCACACCAAGCAACCTTGGCATGATTCCAGCCCTTCTTGTGGCACTGAAGCGGCTCAATAACCTTGTGTGGAGAGGTGTGTCAGAGGTGAATGTCCACCCAGTGATACCAGCCTGAAGAACCTGAGAATGCCCAAAACTTTGGGCATATCTTCCAAGCATTAGATGTCTCTCAGAGCAAAGCTATCAGAAATTAATTTTCCTACCCTGCTGATGCCTCAGGTTTTGGCTTTTATATTTTTTAGATTCTGTATTGCTGAGCTCCATATGAGGGGATGGTGAGCTCTCTTCACAGAGTAGGGAGACAAAACAATTCCTTCTCTAGCTGGGGACCAAGGACAACAATTGAAATCCCAGGCCCAAGAGCATAAACAACGTGGACTGAACAGAGAAAAACAAGAAGGATGGGACTTCATAAGCTAAAGCTATAACTGGACAATAAACTCTAAAATGCTAATGGACCAGAATTTACAAAAGTGAGAGACCCTATGACCAGCTGTCCATTTTGTGACCATTTTGGTTCATCTTGGGTGCAGCCCTGGCTGGGCTCTTGTGTGGCCCAAGGTGGATCCACCGAGGCCTTTTAATAATTCTGTACTTTATTCTTTAACACTGTCTAGCCTCTGTTCTAGGTCAGCCTTCGCAGGGCACCACTGCACCAAAAGCCCCCTGCAGAAACTCCATGGATGAAATCAGATAGCCACTAATTACCTTTAATAATTAATTTATAAAGGTAAAATGTGTGCGCTTGCCAGCAGCGTGGTATCTCAGAAAAGGAAAACTGCATTTCTGAACTTTCAGCCCTGATTCTTAAGGAGTAACTATATATAAAAAAAAGTATGCTCAAATCTAACATTCACAGCTGTACTTGACATTAAAAACCATCAAGATCCTGGCTCCTGGTATCTGGCTTTTCTCTCCGGCTGGAACCTCTGCCTGGCCTCTCTGTCCCATCAGACCTACTGAACTTATTAGTGCTTTGCATGTTTTATTGCAACTTATTATTTCTTCGCACGTTTCCCTCTGCTCTGCTGCTACTAACAACCGTTTTCTTTTGAATTGGGTAAATAATTACCATAATAATTCTCAACTTTGAGTTTATAGGTTTTATTTTAGGTCTAAGGAAAGATTTGTATGCCCCAAAAGCTTGTCTGTTACACCCAGTAAGTGCAACAAAAGAGGAGAGAAGAAGTCCTCACAAAGTTTGACTTTTTCTGAAGCATAAATGGAATATGTGTATTTCCACAAAATTGCCTCTTAAAGTGCACTTCTATAAAATGAGTACTTCATATCTTTGAAAATTCATCACTGTTTCACTGTATTCAGTTAAATACTTTGTACAAAACACAAATCACTTTCTGGTTGAAAAGATTTGATGATGAAAAGTCATTTGATCCTTTTAGGACAGCAGCAAGTTTATGATATTGCTATTTTTTGTATATCTTCTTTTTGCTGTTGTTCACAGATGAAATAACCGCCCAAGTTACAGCTGAAATGAGTAAAACCATTCCTGCCAAGTTTTGACAGAGTAAATACACCTGTGATTGAAGAACTATAGGTGTTCACACATCTCTTTTAATTTTCTAATATCTTTTGTCAATTAGAATGATGTGCATCTTTTAAATACATGGTTGTGAGCTCTGTTTGGTGTTTGCTTTTTTATTGTGTGTCTATATATATATATATATATATATAATAATGAATAGAATATATATTTTATATATTATATATAATATAAATAAATATATGAAATAATATATATATTATATAATATATTTTATTATATATATTATATATATTATATATAATAATATATATTGTACAAGAAGCATAAAGAATGACGACTCTATATAATTTTTATATATATATATTTTTTATATATATATAGAGAGAGAGTCATCATGTTTTATGCTTATTATGCAAAACTCTTCCTTGGACAAAAAGAGGAACACAGTCACAGGTGAAGCTGGGAAATTATTGTTACTCCAGTTCATGATTTAACAGCATAATAATCTGATTTATTAGTTACAATAGTTTGTATTAATAATTCAAATTAATATAGGAAAAATCATAATGCAGTTATATTGCTTTTTGGGGGAAGTAAAAAATTCTTTCTAGAAACCCTCTGGATTCAAAGCCTGGTGGCTTCAGCCTTCCTGAAAGAAGGAGATGGACTCAGAATGAGCAATCACTTTTCTTAGGGACTTTCTTCCATTTTCTGAGAGAAGACAGATGATAGCCCTGCCTTCCACAGAGTTCATTTTTGGGGTTTTTTTTGAGCACAGCTTCGGTGCTCACTTTTGTCCTTAGTTCCTAACCATTAACTTTTTCTTGGGTTTAACTGAACAATAGAAGGGTGAAATCCCATGGTGACCTCTGAATTACAGCTATGGTTTCTGCCAGATCCTCTGCTCTCCTGGTAGTGTTCTGCACCCATTTGCACTTCATTTCATTCTAGAAACATGAGTAGCTGCTCATTATCATTGTAAAATCAAAGGAAATCTGAATCTGGAAAAAAATGTAGCTGGTAGTTAGCTGCCCACCAAATACTATTCTATCACAAATACTATTCTTTCTTTTTAAAGCTAAAATCAGCTCAAATGAAGACAAACCATACAAGTCCTGAGACCCTGAGCTGTCAGGTGAGTGGCCTTAAGTAATGGAAAAATTATTTTGTTTATCATAAAGACGTTGGGAAAGTTCAGCCAAGCCAAAGCTAAATAACACTGCAGTGATAAGGTGACCTCCTGTGAACTGCCTGTATAGCAGAGATCAACCTCTGTCCTTGTTCAGGTCTAGTCAATAAAAAAAAAAAAATTAAAAATATGATTTTATCATATCTTCCATGTAGTTCACTTATCATTTTGTGATGCTGGTCTCTAGTATACTTTTAATGGGTGTACAGAAAGTAATTTATAAAACCAAGTTCACTTCTAAAGTAAATATAGAAGTTTATGAAGAACTACTCCAACAGTGAGAAAACAGCTGCCAGCATGCCTTGGGTAACAAGACATGGGGGTTTTAAACAGTGATTTTACTTGTTGAAAGAAGTTGACAAATAATTAAAGAAAAAAGAAAAAGAAAAAAAGACAAAAACAAACCCCAAAAAACTACCAAGACCTTCTTAACCCAGAAAAACAAATCCCAACTCCAACAGAATTTTCAAAAGAGGTCAATAGTTGGACTTGATGATCTCACAGGTCTTTTCTGACCTAATTGATTTTGTGATATGGTGGACATCAGTGGGCTGAAAGAAGAAAACTTTATTTTAATATTTAGTTTTCTGCTACAAGTTGCTGTCTGTAGAACTAACCTGCCATGTATGATATGGTGTTTAAGCAGTCTTTGTTTCAAAAAAAAGACAGACCTTTAGTGTGGACTTTTACAAGAAATAGCATAATTACTAGGTAGGGTGTGAAGGGGTGTTAAGTTTTTAAGCGACCATGGAGTGAATGGGAATAAAAAGTAGATAGTGAAAATTTTAGTCTTTCATGGAAGAAAATTCTTGTGGTTTTGATAGCCCAAAGACAACTGTGCTAGAGCTTAAATGGATCTTGAGAATAAGAATAGCAATAGCTGCGTGCCCGCAGTTGGAATATTTTCATTATTTTTCACTACCCACAGGTAAAGTGCATTTGAAATAAACCACCTTGAGATTTCAACAGAAAAATACCATTTGTTGTCTCTGGGTCTTCTGCAAATCTGCTGGTATCAAGCTTAGGAGACATGCTGTGCTGACATTCCTTACCCTCTGTCTCATACCATTATTGACTTAAAAGAATTTCTCTGGCAAAATAAACTGTAATTGCAACTGTTCAGTGCCCACCTGAGAAAATTACTTTTACTATTAAAACTGAATGGCTCAAAAAGGTTCAGCACATTCCTTTTCTACCATGTATCTGAAGAAGACCTACAAAGTAAGAGAACAGGCAGGAATAGCATCTCATAGTACATTTATATTTAAACCTATCTTTTTTTTTTTCCTTTAAATCTATTAATCTCCTCTGTTCTTCTGTACTTTCTTTGTATCTCTCTCCTTTCTCTTCTTCACTGCTGTTGTGTGACTTTCAGATTCTTTTAATACCAGTTTAACATCAATGAGTCAGAATTCATTTTTATTTCCTTAATAAAGACCTTGTTTTTAAGTGTTCTCAGCATTACAAATTAGAGTCACATTTTCGCAGATGCTGAGATTCTTCAGCTTTCCGTGCCCTGGTTTTGAAAATATTTTAAATGCCTATGTGGTTTGCCTTGGAGTGTAAATCTGTCCCTCAAAGGAGGATCTTAAAATTGAGTATTCCCATTAGTGGCTTTCTCAAGGCCAGCTTTAATGAAGATGTTCCTTTCACAGAGATTTTTTTAAAAGTGCCACAGAAATATGAAAGCTTTCTTCTAATAGTAAAAAAAGAAAAAAAAAATCTAGAAAGTAGCCATGAACTGAAAGATTTTTATTTCTTCCCCCACCACCACCTCCCTTGCTCTAAGAAATGCAGCTATTCCCTGAGAAACTTTGTAGTTGGAGGCCCATTTACAGTAATAGTTTCAGCCAGTCCTAATGATCATTCAGAAAAAGCAGATGTAATAATGGTTTCCAGGAGGAGATCTGTTTGGGCTCCTAAACTTGCAGATGGATATAGTCCTTTTAGAAAAGCAGGAATCTGGTCTCCTAACATGTTGTCTGAGCATGTGGAAAAACCACACCAGCTCTAATTTGCACTGCCAAAGCAAAAGTCAGGGCAATGAGGGTGAAATAGCAGTATTTTGGGAAAGCCTGATTTCCATACCATTGTAGAAAGAGAAAATGGATACAAAGGATTCGTGTCAGTAGTGGCTGGTTTCCTTTTCCCTTTCTGAGGCAGAGAAAGATCAAAACCCCTGAGGGAGGCCAAAAGCAGATTTCAGCCCTGTTTTGATGTTTCTCATCATGGTTGGAGGAGAGAGGAGGAGCTGCAGAGATCCAGGACTGTCTTTTTGCTGTGCTTGCTCTTTGGTGTGGCATTTGCCGTCTGAGCAGGATAAAATACATGTTTTGGGGATGGTAGGGCTGTCCCAGAGCTGCATGTGCCATGATGGTGCATCTTCACTTGACCTTGCTGGGGACAGGGCAAGACACAGAATCACAGAACGTTTTGGGTTGGAAAGGACCTTCCAAAGGTCAACTATTCCAAGGCCCTGGAATGGCCAAGAACACTTTTCACTAGACTAGGATGCTCAAATCCCTATCCAATATAGCCTTGAACTATCACTGACTGAGTATCAGGGACTGACAAAGATGATACAGAGATTCTATTATTAGAAGGTATGAAAAGGTTTGAAGGTACTTTATTATTAGAAATCTACAGTTCTTATAGAAACAATAATGGACTTAAGGCTTGATTGGCTTTTAGGAATTTTTTCTCACTTATTGGTCAAGAAGGGACAACTCCTTCTTGTAAACATCTTTGGCAAGCAGAGATTGCTTGCTAGGTGCAGAGATTGAGATGATAATTGTTTTAATTCTTTCTCTGAGCTTTCTCACAGCTTCTCACAGCTTCCCAGGAAAATCCTGGGAAACCTATGTCTCTCTCTGTTCAGAGGATATGTGATTGCCACATTGAACATTCCCAGGGTAGAGCACCCACAGTTTTTCTGAGCAGCCTGTGCCAGTGTCTCACCAGCCTACTAGTGAGGAATTTCTTTCCAATATTTGACATAACTTACCCACTGACATTCCCCCTTGTTCTATCACTACATGCCCCTTTAAAAAGTCCCTCTGTGCTTCTCTTGTGGTGTCCCTCTTGTGATTCTCTTGCCTTCAGGTATCGATGGATGATCTAAGGTCTCCCCAGAACCTTCTCTTCTCTAGGCTGAACAGACTCAGCCTGTCTTCACAGCTCAGGTGTCCCATCCCTCTGACCATTTCTGTGTCCCTCCTCTGGAGCTGCTTCCACAGGTCCATGTCTTTCCTGTTCTGAGGAGCCTAGAGCTGCAAAGTGCTGCCTCTCAGGCTGGCAGGTGGCTTCTGCGTCACCCCAGCCCTGGCTCCACCAGCATGTCAGCCTGGCACAAGCCACAGGATCACTGGGGCTGTGCTTTGTTGTGGGTATTTTGCTGTTTGTTGAGGCAGAAATTCTTCCAATGAAACATCTGACTGCTGAGCTGTGCGTCCCAGCTGGCAAAAGAAAGTCAACTTCTTATTACCCAGCAATGAACTGTGTTAACATCTTGTTGGGGTTGAGAAATACTCAGATAATTGTACATCCCCTGTTTTCCCTTGCTCTATTAGTTGTTGTGTCATGGCATGAAAGGAGACACTCTGTCCCCTGGAGGATCTTGGGCTAGTATTTTTCACATGCATAAAAATGTGCCAGAAAATTACTCTGTCATAGTTTACATAATTCTGAGTGGGTTGGAATCTACTGCCAAAGCCTACGTGCCTTGTGCAACTTTAAGTTGCCCTAGGATGTTGGAAATGTTTTTATGGGGACTGGAAACACGACAAATGAACTGAGGGAGGACCAGAAGCCCTGTGGAAAGGCAGTGGAGTCCAGGCAGGGTGCCCAAATTGTGTCTGAAATGGAACCACATACTCGGCTTTTGAGAACTAAATCCCACCCTAGGTGCACACACAAGCAATACACTACAGACACAAGCATTATTGTAAACTTCTGTCAGTTCTGATGCAAAACAACAGAAATTAATGTTCCTTATTTTCTGATGCAAGTACCGAGGCACCGAGGGAATTTGCCACATGTAAAATCGCTACAAGACACAGTCCTCACCACAGTTTATTTCAGCAGCCCGAGCTGCTTCTCATTGCAGACTCTGAAAAGCTATTATTTCCCAAATGTATCCAAAATAAGTCTGAACATGTTTGCCTGTAATGCAACAAGGTGAGCTTAATTACAGGAAGCTTTAGAAGTGCTCAGCTCATGTGCTGCTGACACAGCAGGGGTGGGTGGGTCTGAAGGGAAGGGGAGCGGCGAGGACAATCCCTGTGTGGGAACCACCTTCAGAAAACAAAACCTGAAACTTCAAAGCAGGGGAGAAAAAAAAAATAAACAACAAAACAAAAAACCCAACAAAACAACCAACCCCCTGTAACACTTCCAAAATGTTATAATAAATGGAGTGAAAATAACATGCCCATTTACATTTCTTTGTTCTTATTTGCAGTTTGACTTAATGTCAGGAGATTGCCAAAGTTTCAGCATCAGCATCTGTGCTCACCAGCTTCAACAAGATTTAGAGGAAAGAAAAGAAAGAAAAAAGCAGTTTATATTTTGTAAGTTACCTGTGCTCATGTGCAGCTTACATACAGGGGCATTGATGTGTGCAATAGAGAGCTAATTTTAAGCAGAGCTGCTGCTTGAGATGTGTTTCCCAACTTGGAGACCTGGTTTTGGGGCCAAAATTGATGAATGCTTCAGTACTAATCCTTTGTGTCTTGTACAGCACCAAACTCCTAATTAATGTGGTACCTAAAGAATGAAAATGTGTCCTCCCCCCTAGCTTGTACCACTTTAATAGACATTTCCTATAGTATTAAATAATAATATAGTATTATATACTTAATACTATATTATTATACAATATTATATTATGTACTATATAATATATATATTATAATATCCTATAGTATTAAATAATATTTTTATCAGCAGAGATCAGCAAAATTCCCATGGTACAGAGCCCTTTTAATTTTGACGTATAACCAACTTCTGTAAGAGTGTTTTTACCAGGATTTCCAAATTTCTTTTAAACACAATATTTGAGGTTTAGATTGTTTTATTAGCAAACATTTATTTTTAATACTATTTATTATGTCAAACATCCAGCTGTGTTTCAATTCATTCTTGATTTGATTAAGGGCGTCTGTTGCATTTTGTTAGTATAGAACCATTAACTAAGAACTTTTTTTAAAAGTGCTCTTTAGGTAGTCTTATCTACTAAATTCAGATAGTCTTTTTAAAAGAGCTGCATTTTATTCCTTTTGTATGATATTCCACTATAAATGAAGATGAAATCTGTTGGTCTGCAACTCCTTTTCTTAATATTTCTTCACATTGGAAAAACATCTACTCCTTTTTATTTTTAAGAATGACATTTATATTAATTTTAACTAGTGAGGACTTAACATCACCCAGTGCAAAGATATAATGAAAAAATATAATCTTGACCACCACGTCATTTTGCTTTGAATTTCAGGGTCATTTTCTTTAAATATTGTTATATGAATCATTTCCATTTACACTGATAATAAAAGGCTTTCTGGTGTTCTCAGACTCAAAAATTTATGAAAATAAAAAAACATGATGCAGATACAACAACACAAGTTTGTGAAACTGGAACATCCTGTACCATTACTTGAGATAAAATTCCTAGTTAAAATTTAAAATATTGCTGAAATGATTTCCCGAGGAAGTTATTTTGGGATTTTACGGTTAACTACACTTGAATAAAACCTATTCCTGTGAACAGCAATATTTTAAGTATTTTAAAATGCTCCAACTTTAAATAAATTGATGACCAGTGAGATCATCCCTAGACATTCAATAGCAACGGTGTTACAGTAGTGTCACTGAGACAGCAATAATGATATCATCACACTAGCAAGCAAAGTGTATTCTGTATGACTCACTGCTGCTTTTTTATAGAAGTCTTAGCTTCAGAAATGAGTATGTGAGATGACTGGTTTGGTGGATGAGCATAGAAAACAGACAGAAATATAAAAAAAATCCATGTAGTTTCTAATTTATTTGCTCTAAGTTTCAAGATGCTGCCTGAAATTCAGACTTGCCCCAAACTGAACAGGTAACCCAGTAATTTTTCTTGTTCAACTAAGTTTTAAGTCATGTTCATGGGCGGCACAGTTTAACTCAAGAACCTGACAACAAAGGGAATCTGGTAAAGCAGTTGCTTAAACAGGATTTATATGTTTTTAAATATGTTTATAAATGTGTTTATATGTTGTAGTAAATACTTCCCAGCTTTCATATTCTAATTACTACTTCAAACTGCTGCTTGAAAAGCAGTTGGTCATTATTACATTGAGACATGGTTTTGGTTTGTTTTCTTTCTGGTGCAATCTCTTCCAATTCTACAGGGATATATATATATATATATACACAAACACATTGTATATGCATGAAACATTTCCCTTTAATTTAGATATATATATTATATATGTATGAAATATTTATTTTAATTTTTTGGTTACAATCCTCATGCAAATTATTGTGCTTATTGCATGACCCAGTTCACTGAACTGGAAAGAGAGGTGATTTTGTCATTTGGAGCTGCTCTTGGTTTATTACCTCACCATGCAGAGTGTGCACAAGCACTGTGTGTGGCTTTATGGAGTGGGAAAAGAGTGAACAAGACAGACTATTTGGGTGAGAGCAGAATTTGAGGAATGCACACAGACCTGTCCTCCTTTGCCCTGGGTTAATCTTGAATGCTTTCGACAGTAATGCAGAACAGGCCTGGCTGTGCAGCTCTGATTATGTGGCCCAAAACACTGCTTTTATTTATTTGAATCCCATGTATTGAATTCATCATGCAGCTCTTCTGCTACAGGGAGAGCTGACAGATATGGTTTCCCCCCCATTTTCTCCCACAGAAACACTGAACAATAATCTCGTACTTGCCTAGGTAATAGTGTGTGATTTTTCCCAGACACTTAAGCTGCTATAAATCAAGTAAGTACATGTGTGTCAGAGGAAGACATAACCCTTTATTTATGAATGTGTTAGAAGAACTGTCAGAAAGGGATATTGATTCTGGTTTTGTACAGGGAACTAGCGAGAACAACCAATCAATGTAACATAGGGAGAACTTAACATTGGTATGAAATATTTAGGTTGTAGGGAAGTATAAAAATTAAGGAAATTTCCAATGGAAAACATCAGCATACTTTTTTTTTTTTGCTAAAGAGAAGATGAAAAGCAGAGATTGGTGATTAAAAATAAATAAAATGAAAGAGTAGAAGAAACTGATATATTGAGAAACTAATATATCATGAAGACTGTTACATAAAGGCCCTGTCCATTGATATATTTTGATTAGAATATTTTGACTAAGAGCACAATTCTGAGCATCTGTTTACCAAAATGTATTCTATAGTATGCAAGCCTGGACTTTGTTTTACTCAAGCACTCTTGTGAGCTTAACTGAGAGAAATTAATAAACAACTGCAAAAGTACTTAAATTGGTCATTAAATATTGTGTAAGTAAAGAGAAAATACATATTAAAATATATGGGTTTAGGAAAAGAAAAACACCAAAGCCAAACACCAAGACTTCAACAATTATTAAAAAAATCATCTGCAATATTTTTTTTTTCCTTGAGTTTTTTCTTACTTTACTAGTGCCCTTTTCAAGCTCAGTTTGTTTGGAGCAAGTGAGGTGTTTTGTTGGATCTAATTGTCTTTTGTTAAGAACTAATTATGTGTACTTGAAATATCTTTATGGTTGATGGCACTGAGGGAAAAAAAATTACCCTATGATATCAATAGCCAACCAAATTAGGCTGATGGCCTACTTGTATTCCACCTACTGGAGCATTGGAAGAGCTATCTGCCAAAAAGATGGAGTTCATTAAAGCCTTTTGATATGAATTAAAATTTGAGTCATGGAGTACTTGACAATTGTAATTTTTGTGTGTAAATTTTATAATTGATAAAATACTACAGTTTAAGCGCATGTGGTGTTTGCTATTACAATTGGCTAACAATTATCTGAAGATTTTGGTGTTGAAGTAGTGGCCTTTCCATATTTCTGAAATTTATGCCCTGAAAGCAAGAGTGTACAATGAAGAAATAAAGACTGTTTTTTCCTAATTTGACTGCAGAGTTCAACATTGTAAAAGAATGTTTTTGCTTAAATAGCAAATTCATAGAATCAGAGAATGGTTTGGGTTGGAAGGAACCTCAGATTCCACCTGGCTGCCATGGGCAGGGACACCATCCAGTAGACCAGGTTGTTCAAGGTCCCATCCAGACCAGCACTGAACACTTCCAGGGGAAGTCTTCACAGGAGAAATGCCCCAGACCTTTCATCATCTTGGTGACCTCCTCTGGATTTGCTCCATCAGGTCAGTGATGCTTGCTGATGTTTCTACCATCACAGAATGGGTACGTCAGGAGAGACCACAGTGGGTCACTGTTGCAGACATCTTTTCATGAAAATCCTTTCCTTAGGATATTTTCCTCCTGAGAAGTTGAGAGACCTCAGGAACGAAATGTAAACATTGATTATCTGCTGCTGTGGAATGCAACAGGTGGATCTGTGATTGGCCCATGTTGGATGTTTGTAATTAATGGCCAATCACAACCCAGCTGGCTTGGAGTGAGTCCAAAACAGAGCCTTTGTTATCATTCTCTGGGGATTCTATACTTAGCTTAGCTAGCCTTCTGTGATGAAACCTTTTACTCTATTCTTTTAGTATAGTTTTAATGTAATATATATAATAAAAAAAATTAATCAAGCCTTCTGAAACATGGAGTCAGATCCTCGTCTCTTCCCTCATCCTCAAACCCCTGTGAACACTGTCACAGGTTACTGGTCCAACCTCCCTGCTCAAACAGGGTCATCCTAAAGCACATTTTACAGGATTGCACCCAAACATTTCTGGAGTATCTCCAGTGGGAATGCCTCTCCAACCTCTCTGGGCAAGCTGTTCCAGTGCAGTCACCCACACAGTAAAGCAGTTCTTCCTCAGGTGGAACTTGCTGTGCATCAGTTTCTGCCCTTTTCCTCCTGTTCCATTGCCTTACACCACTGAGCAGAGCCTGATCCATCCTCTTGGCCTTTCAGATTCCCACAGACACTGGTGAGCCCCCTCTAAGTCACCATTTCTTAAGTCAGTCCCAGCTCCCTCAGCCTTTCCTCATAAGAGAGAGAGATTCCATCCCTCCATCACCTTCCATCTTTGCTGGATCTGCTGCAGGAGCTCCACGTCCCTCTTGGACTGAGTATCCCAGAGCTGCTCCAGATGCAGCCTCACAAGGGCTGAGCTGCCTCAACCTGCTGTGCTTTTCAAATTCTCACAGGGTGATGTTAACCTGGAAGAAACAACATCAGAATTCTGTTTTGCTCTAGGGCTGAACATGAATCTCGTGGCTCAGGTCTGTCACAGGCAGGAGGGAAGGGATGCCCACCATGACGTGTCCTGCTCGTACAAAGCATGGCCTTGTTTTTCATCAGAACAAATTGTTTTGCTCATGTCCTGTTTAAATGAAGCAAACACTTGATTTTAATAGGATTTATATGTGTGTTTAAGCCCTTTGAACTGAGTTTTATAAACAGTATCTGTACCCAATCTCAGATGCTTCTAGTCAGTCTGCTGCCTGCTTGTCTTCAGCATCTGCTGCAAGGGATAATGAATGCTATTAAAATAAAGCTTTAGGGAAAAAAAAAGAAATAAAAAAAGAAAAAAACTGAATTTTTTGTTCTTTTTACAACACTTCTTAAGTGCAGAAAGGGGAAATTTAAAATATATGTTGAACCAAGAGGGCTGAGTATTGATCTGAAGAGTTTTGTGACATACACTAAGGATCTGATATCTCAAATGTCTTATCAGAGTCCATGATCAAGGAAGTTCAGTTTTACTGTGAAAGATAGAGACACAAGATGTTTGCACTAATCATTTTAAGAGGGTTGGTGCAGAGAGGAGGGTAGAAAACTTCCAAAAGTTGAGCTTCAGAATAAATAGCTACAGTCCAAAGGGAAACGTGAATTTCCCTGTGACTTTTTTAGATAGGGCTGCTTCTTTCAGTAATGTTCACCTGGATCAAGAGCTGGTTCAACTGAAAATTACTCATAAGTTGTTGTTGATGTTGTTTTAACTAACTGTTGTTATAAAAACTTTTTTTTTTTTTGCTATTAAAGAAAAAAAAAGTAACATTTAGCAACAAAAAAAGATCATAAAGTGGATTTAGAAATTTAAAATGCAAAATCTCTGGAAATATTCAACCTTAAAGGTAAGACTTTGAAAGATAAGAGGTTTAGGCCAAATCTGGATTATCTTTCCAATTGGAATATCCTTAGGTCTTTTTAAAAACCATGAAGCTTTCCTTCCTCTTGCCCTACACTGATGTACAAAAAAGACCATGTTGTGACTTGAAGAAAATAATTTCTGTTAAACGAGATTATTAACTGTAATGTTTCATAGTAAATGGTCTTCCTAAAGTGTTGTTCTAGCAGTGCAGTATTTGTTATGCCCTTCATTAATTTGTTAACATTAATTCTAATGACTGAATTTGTTCTTTACTTTAATAACAATATTAATGGAAGGGGGAGAGAGATGCATTTTGAAATAATTTGAATAAATCAACGTGAAAGATTATTTGAGATCTTAGGTATAGATCTAAGAAAAGAATTCTATTTAAAAATGTATTTTTCACACTATTTTCCATTATTTTAATGGAAAATACTAAATTAATGCTAAAATAAAGCAAATGTGGTTTTGCTGCCAAAGCTGAAGTTTTAATGTTTTGTATTAACATATACAAAACTGGTAAAAATACGTTAAAAGAAACATCTGCTATCATAATTCATGATTAATAGTAGCCTCTATCTTCAGTCATGAGTATTCCTCACCATGTACATAGTAAAACTTGATAGAGATTGTCATTGGAAATAGGCTTGAAACTGAAATAACTTCAGAGAAGGAAAATGTCAATATCTTTCTTTGTAAACAGGATGTGATAGCCATCAAAGAGACAAAAACAGATGAAAAAGGACAATAGGTTGTGTGTAAGTTACAAGAAACATGCAAATATTGAACAAGTCAGCTACCAACATCTGAACTGTGGAGAATCTTGGATGCTTCTCTTTACATCGGATGTCTGAGCACCCACTGAGGTTTGCCCTGGGATGTCCTTGAGCAATGGTCAAGCATCCAGCCAGAACCAAACCAGTTCATCCATGTAACTCTAGGGAGCACTGCAGTGCTGGAAATCTGACAAAAGAGAACCTAAAGATGAGGTTCTGGCAGTTCAAAGTTGTTTAAGAGTCCATGAATCTTTAAACAAGAACAGCAGTCATTAAAATTAAAACATAAAGTCCTAAACTGAGTTATGACATTTTGCTACTTTGCATTTCCCTGTTCTCTTAAAATAATGTGCTGTGATGTTTATTACAATATCCTGCTTTTTTTAGTTCCTTCTTTTGCCCCACTAGCTCTATGCTAGTATTGACAGTGAGGAAGAATGGGGGATGAGAAGTGCTCAGGTGCAATTTTCAAAGGTGATGGGGAGGCTTGTTACTTTGTTTCCCTCAAATTTATTTTCAGAGATCTTAAAGGTGGCCTTAAAAGGTGGTTTTTGGTTTAGTAATCTGGGAAATATGCTGATAATAAACTTCAAAGTAAAATACCAGACACTATATATGTAATTCCTAATATTTATTATACTCAGGCCCATTTGCTGTGACAAAAATTAAAGGGAAAAATTACTAAGTGCTACGGCCCACAGTTACTGAAACAATACAACTTGTAATTTTGTGAATTGATTTACTTGTTTTTCACGTCTGAATTTTGATTCTATATATGCTCTGTTTCTTTTGAATGTGGCAACTAAATACATTCCAAATACTTTGCACAAACTCTTTCATATTCCCTTAGATCTGATGGTGGTCAGGGTGGCTCAGTGACCTATGACTGGCTTTATTTCAATCTCAGAAACATAGAGTACCATGTCCAAGGAAGACCTTTAGGATTATCTGGTCCAGCTCCTTCTCCTCCTCCTC